TGCACCATGGCTCTAGAACTCTCCCTGCTTTCACCTTCCAAGTCTCCCGTCATGGCGCCAACCTCTTGGGCTTCGACTTGTTTTGCGCACTCGGTTTTTCCATCACTGACAACGTGGGCGCCACAATTCTGACGGTGCCTACATCTTGGTAGCACCGTTGGCCATCGCTCTTTACAGGTTTGGGCTGTCTCACTGCCTTCAACCATCAGCCACTCATGGATTCTACCGTGCCCCCTGTGATCCAGTCTCTTCGCCGACTGCCCCTCGCCCTGCGCGATGACATCTCGGCCGAGCTACAGAAACTCCTTGATGCTGGTATCATTGAGCGGATTGACGCATCCCCTTGGATCTCCAACCTGGTGGCAGCGAAGAAAAAGACGGGTGGTCTGCGGCCCTGCGTTGACCTCAGAATGGCTAACAAGGCAGTGATTCCTGACAAATACCCACTGCCCACAGTGGAGGAGTTGGCTGCCAAGTTCTATGGGTCCACCGTATTCACAAAACTGGACCTGCGCCAAGGCTACCTACAGGTTCCCCTGCACCCTGACAGTCGTAACCTTATAGCCTTTGTGAGTCACATGGGGGTTTTCCGCTATACCCGCATGCCCTTCGGCCTCAGCTCCACCCCCAGCTGTTTTCAAAAGATCATGGCCACCATCTTCACAAGCATCCCAGGTGTGGTTGTGTACCTGGACGACATCGTAGTGCATGGTGCGACGTGTGACCTGCATGATGACCGCCTCTCCAAGGTGCTCGATGTGCTGGCGAGCCACAACCTCACCCTAAATGGGGAGAAGTGCATCTTTTCGGCATCGGCTACTGAGTTTGTGGGATTTCGCCTAACCGCTGATGGCCTGAGTCCACTACACTCAAACGTTGATGAAGTATTGCGCCTGCCAGAGCCCTCGTGCCCCGCAGAACTGTCCTCCTTTCTGGGCATGACAGCTTTCTACTTGCGCTTCCTCCCCAACTACTTCGATACGACTGCGCCACTACGTACCCTCTACAACCGGGTCGGGGCACAAGCCGCTGCGGTTGTATAGGTGGACTGAGAGATTACAAGCCTACGATTTGGTGGACTGAGAGATTGCAAGCCTATGATTTCACCAATTCATTTCCTTCATTTTGTATTGGCTGCATTTCTTCTATTATGTGTTGTTATGTGAATATTATGTGTTGACATGTCCACTAATCTACCCATGGCCTTCAGGAGTCGTGCTGGCTCAAGTAATATAGCGATAGGACTCTTTCTTTAACCAATTGAAAGTCATATTCACCTTCGCAGGGCCAGAGAACTGGCCCTTGGTGACATCGAGTTCCCAATTGGTTAGCGAGAACAATTTTTTTACTGTCAACTTCAACTCGCAAAATACGTCTGTCGTGCTCAACTGACCTTAATACATTTAATTCACAGCATATCTGGTGAGTATGATGTTTTTGTAATTTTTGTCATGAATTTTGATTGTAAACTTCTCATTGCACCATTTGTGTTTTTGTATAGTATGTATACTGTCAATATTTATTTTTTTACTTGATAAGTGTTATTCAGCAGTGGATTGCGTCGGATGAGTCCCCATCGAAGGCCCAAGTACTAAATTTATGGCCTGCAACTTTCACAGAATTTTGTGTTGCAAAAGGCCTCCTAAAGAGGAAGTTCATTTATTTGATCAAAAATCCCAGTTAGGGCCTTAGCACATTTTTTTACTGAATAAATTGGATGATTCTATTATATAATAGAAATTTCCCTCCAAACAGATATTTCACTTACATAATGGGCGGAGTGGAGTATCAAAAAAACAGAAAAAAACATGTATTGACACCAGATTGTGTAATCGCGTCTGTCTCACTGTGACGGCACACAAGGACACCGTTCTATATTTAGAGTATGCATTTGAGCTGCATTGGGAGAAGATCAAATTTAATGAAGTCCTGTATTGATTATGCCGAGCTGTCTGACGAATAGCTATCAAAGATCTGTGTCTGTAATAGCAGTGATGAGGAAATACACAAATTACAATAAGTCTCAGGTCAAATATGACTTGTGAAAGAACCACTAATATTTTCATCACACAGATTAAATGTTGAATTTAATACTAAATAGGGCATTTGGATAATAATTGAGACAATGATGAAACATGCAATGTGCAGGCATGACTGTCCTCTGCACCCTGAGGACATTTTCCACTTGATATTAAATCATGCACCCAATTATCAAATCAGGCAGACCCACCAAGAGGGAGAGCAAGTGAGCGAGCTGGATAATGGAGAGAGAGGGAGAGACACAGACACATCTGGGGTGTGTTCTCGTGGTTGTCTGCTAGATGAAGCTTGACAACACAAATGGAGAAGAGGAGAAAAGGTAAGGTTGCGTTAAGTACACAAATTTACTGTGGGGCGCGGAGCCCAAAGGCTTTGGGTCATCATTATAAAATACTGTCAAGCTAATTTAATGATCATCAGCAGACATGTGTTTGTTGTGGCAATATATATGATTTATTTGAATACGTTTGGATCATTTCTAACTTGAGCTGAAAATCTTTGTGGAGTTAGACAGATAAAAAATAATGAGAGTTAAAAACAGTGTTTGACATTTTTCAGAACTTTTGTACTTAGTGAACTACCCGAATATAAGACGGCCCTGATTATAAGACGAACCCCTCTTTTTCAAGACTCAAGTATGAAAAAAGACTTTTTGAACACCAAATTAATTTTTATACAGAAAATAATTACACTACATCTGAAACAAATGATTCTAACAATATATTTGAGAGAAAAAGCATGTTATTTTGCCTCATTCAAATCATATCTGAAAATTTAAATATGTAAACTAAAGTGCAATCACCTTCGTAAATGAATGGCTTCTGGTTTTTGAAATGTAAATTACATCATAACTTCTCCTCAGCTGCCATTAACCTGGCTGATCTTCGACCCACTTTTCTCCAGATTGTCGCTATGTTTCTCCATTTTCTGTTATCTCGTCTATTATTTTCTTTTCTTTCTTACAGCTATTTTTTTTTCTTCTTTGTGCTACCGCTATTTTTATTTTTATTCTTCGTGACAGGGGTTCACTTTGGCCTGGGGAGTCAAGTTCAGCATTTGCTTCATTGATATCTAGCGCCATCTAGCATCGTGAATGGGTATAATGTCTAGACCCCGAATATAAGATGACCCCCACTTTTTCAGTCTTATTTCAATGCAAAAAACACCCTCTTATATTCGGGCCACTATGGTATATAAGAGTTGAATGGTATTGAATGCACGTAAGCAAGTGTTGAAATCAGCCTCGTCGCCACAGGGTCCTCCTTGGAGCTGAGGCTGATGGTTGTCGGCAGCAGCGGACCGTCTCAGTTCCAGCTGACCAACGCTATCCTGGGAAGGGAGGAGTTCCCTAGGGACACCACGAGCATCTCTGGCAGCCGTAAGATTTTGGGGGAGCTGGCGGGGCGGCGGGTGGCCGTGATCAGCGCCCCCAACCTCTATGACAAAGATATATCTCGCGTCAAGAGGAAGATGGAGCTGAGGAGGTCCAAATGCTTGTCAGTGCCCGGTCCCCACGCTTTTCTGGTGGCCTTCGACATGGCGAAAATTTCACCGAATGACATCAGGACCCCACAGCTCATGATGAGACGTTTTGGAAGACGTTGTTTAAGACATTGCATCGTCCTGCTCGCCTACGACGGCAGCCCGGACAGCAAGGCCTTGGAAGGTGTCGTGCAGAACACCGACTGGCCCCTGAGGCATCTGATTGAGGACTTTGGTGGCCGCTTTTACATTTTCAGCAAGGACTGGCGGGACCGCAGCCGCGAGCAGGAACTTCTGCAGAAAATCGAGTGGATGGTGGCCTCCCTGGGCGGCGCCTGCTTCTCCAGCGGAACCTTCCAGAAGGCCGAGCGCAGCGTTAAGAAGGAGGAAAAAAGACTCATGAAGAAGATGGCAGCCGATAACGAGAAAGCATGGAGCGAGCTGGAGAAGAAGTACCTGTCAGATGAGTTGTACCGGCGCAAAGACGCCCACACGGCTAGCATCAGCGCGGAGATAAGGGCCAAGGCCGAAGTGGACAATGGCTGGCTCAGGACGTCCCTGGCGAGGGGGGTGGGCTCGGGCGTGGTCGTAGGGGCCGTGATGGGGGCACTGGTGGGCTCTATAGAGGGACCGGGAGGAATGGTGCTGTACGGCATCATCGGTGGAGCGCTGGGCGCGTCGGCAGGGGGTGCTGCTCAGGTGGCCACAAAGCACATGGAGGACAGAGTAGCACCACCTGCCAGACTCAACTTCAACTCCATCTTCATCAATCGCTTCTTTGCAACACCTCGGCCCTGACAGTAGCACCCAACATTAGCACAATGTCTTTAGCTTTATTTTTACCTTAACAAAAACAACAATTCTCAGTTTTAATTTCAAACTCCCAGTAAAGTGAAAACTGTGGAAATTGGACTCATCACAGAGAAGAGTGTTGTTAAGGGCTTGTCAAATATGAAAAGTTCAAACAATAGAAGTATTTTAAATGATCTTTCAAGTCATCACAAATCAGCTTTTGTTTCCATTGCAGCAACTGAATGAAATGAAACCCCACTATGCTAAACTGTCAATTAAATAACACTTCTCTGACCTGGAAAACATGTTGCTCCTTCCTCTAGCATCTTTCGTATGCCTACACGTAACTGCAACGTTTAAGGCATGTAAATATATCCACTTAACGCTTAACTGCAGCACCTGGACTCTATCCCACTGTTCGCTGTGGGCCTTTCACACGGCGCGGCAACAAGGCGCTCTAATGCTGACACGGCAGCACAAAGCCCTGCAAGAAATCATCCCATTTCACTCATTTGGTGTGAACCTTATTAATAATGTATCTTTTTTTTTCATCCATGTTTGCCAGGGACGTATCATGACAGGCAGAACAACGAACCGCTTTCATGCAACATATTTTAGCTTGATGTTTAACTAACAAGCTAAGACTTGACACTGAGTGACTATATTTCTGTCCGCGAAAACTGAGCGTTCTTGTCATTGGAAAGGCATCGTTTTTGAGACAGCGTTGGCACAAGATTTTGTGGCTCTACCTAATGAACTGTTCAGCATGTGTAGATCAAAACAACTAGAGCTGTCTAACGCCGTTTCCTAGGTTTGAGAATACGTCACCCTTTTTCGACGCCTGTAGTGAACCTCATACCATTTTAAAGCCCAGCCTCCAGTAGTGTTTGCCTATAAAGGAGCTCAGATAACATTCCGGGTGGAGTTTGTTCTATTCGAGAATGTTTGACAACCCAACACACCTTCGTGCAGCATAAAACATTCAGTGTTCTTCCTTGTTTACCTTTGAGCCTGTGGAGAGACGAGACAAGAGCAGACTTCTGGACAGGAGAGGTGAGGCTGCACTTTACTACACCTTTTTAACATCATTAATATCATTTTTAACTCCTTCATTTCGAAACAAACACTACCCACTACATGGCACGTGAGGCATTGAAATATTCCATGAACACAAAAAAAAATTCGATATGTGAGATGGGTGGGAGTCAAACCTGAATGGACAACGGAGGACAACTGTACCTGAAACAAAAATAATTAGATTTCCATAGTTACAATTTTGTGTTGCATTTTAGCTCCTCGGCGATGTAGTACAGTAGTCACCTATGTGTGGCCTGTACCTGTTTGTCCACATGCTTTTCATATTCTAAATAACTGTAGTCATTCTTTGTAAGATTGCACTTTAGCGGGAAGGAGCTCAGTCTGAACAGTGGTGGTAAGGACTACAATATATTTCATCGGCCGTCCTCGAATAGGCCTCAGACAAATTTCAAGGGGGTATAAATATTGGGAGGTTACAGACAGTCCTAGCTCAGCCGCCACCCTAATGAGAACAGACAATCTGACTGGAATTCTGTCCTGCCTCATCCTTTCCTCGCTGCCATTTTCAGCCCCAATGGCGTCAACCGTCAGCCTCCTCCCCGAGAAGTCCCTGCTGTGCTCTCTGTGTAAGGACATCTTCAGCAGTCCAGTCACCACCCCGTGCGGACACAGCTTCTGCCTGTCCTGCCTTTGCGACTACTGGATGCGACACCAGTCCAGATACTGCCCCTGCTGCCGGCGACTCTTCGCCAACAGGCCCGACCTCAGTGTCAACCATATCCTTGCCGAAATCTCGGACAATTACAAGAAGACCAGACCACAAAAGATACCAGATGAAGAAACGGTGCGTTATTCTCTTCCGCCTTGTTATATGCGGCACATTGGGGTGAGAGGTGGAGTCCAACCTGGCCAATAAATAGGCACATTTACTTAGACAAAACAACAACGACAACAACAACAAAAAACATACCAATCATACCTTCAACGAACCTAATATGAATGTTTTGGGGATGTGAGAAGAAGGCGGAGTACACAGATACACTGAATGTACAGGTGACACATAAAAATCAAAGATATACAGGAAAACAACTGAAACATAAAACACTAAAATAGGTGCTCATGCCGGAGTTGAAAGCCAAAGCCCGGTGCATCTGTTCTTCCCACTCCAGAATCCCACAGAATCAAAAATTGGTCATTCTTGGTCATCATCTAGACAATGAACGCACAAATGGGCAGACAAACATAAATACATCATTATTATTAGGATTACTAGTCATAATATTATAATTTTGACATTTAAGTGTTTTCCCCTCCCCAGACTCCCAAATGGTACAATCCAGACATTTTATGTTCCAGAAAGTGACCAGCTAGCAGAAAGAAAGACGAACGAACACAAGAGTGACGCTCTATTAATTTTTTCCTCTTATGTTCGTGGAGTTGTTTTGCTTCCTTGCCTTTTACGCTATTGCACAGGTGTCAAACTCAAGGGCCGAGGGCCAGATCTGGCCTGCCGCATCATTTTATGCGGCCCACGAAAGCAGCTCAAATATGTCAACGTCCATGGTCCTTTCTATTTCAAAATTCTCATTTGTAATAAATAAGAGATATATTCGAAACATGTTCTTGTTCCCAAACCCCTCATGATCGTAACTTAAACAATAGTTGAATCAACACTTATTCTTGACTTCTAGATATGGTTTCAGTCATAATGGCCCTACTGGGAAACAGTAACTAAAATGTGGCCTGTGCAAAAAATGAGTTTGACAGCCCTGCGCTATTGGGTCAATGTTGAAACACCCCAATCATAGAACCACCATTTGTACAGTCACATTGTAGCACAGTAATATCTGCGGGAATTGCAGGTTGTAGTTTAAAGCATCTTTTGGGTGTTTGTGTCATGCTTTAGGTTATCAATGTTGAGCAAATGATTCAAGAGAGGCTGCAGAAGGTAGACAGGTTGAAGACTTCTCTTGAGCTCCAAAAGGTAAGGTTGAAACTCAATCCACAATCAGTCCTACGTGACATCTCTTACTAAATGCTGAATGGTGGTTTTGTGTCAACCAAGCAGAGCTCTTACCTCAGAGAAGTGCGCGAGAGCCAAAAAGTCTTCTCAGCCCTCGTCCACGCCATGGAGAAGAGCCACAAAGCAGTGGTGGCGGCCATCGAAGAGCGCCAAAAGGAAGAGCAGAAGAAAGTCCAGAACCTGGTGCAGGAGTTGGAGCAGGAGATCCGGGAACTGACAAAGGAGTCTGCCGTATCCGATTCTCTAGTTCCTGAAAAAACTAGTGATCAGCAGGATGAATTAAAAGAAGATTCCACGGTAAGTACCTTCTTCCTACCATCACAGATGACATAACAGTGACCTTGACCACCTGCGTGTTTCTTCCAGAATGTTGTACCTCCTGGACAAGCGGTCCAGTTCAAGGATTGGTCCATGGTTACCATAGAAACTGACCCATGTGTCGGGGTCACCAGGAGAGCACTGTCGGAAATGATGGCGAAGATAAAGATGGAAGTAAACAGGCTATCCAAATCCGGTCAGTTCGTAGTTGGTCTTATTTGAGCATCTTATGATGCACTACACAAATACACTGATGTATGTATTTCTTTTTAATTGGCAGAACTTAAGAGAATTCAGAGATACATTGGTGAGTCTTTATCTGCACATACATTCAATTTGAATTAGTGTTAAATTATCAGAATAAAATACAGCAGGAGATCTAAAGTCTGCATGTTTGGATATAGAAACACATTTTCCCATCGGAAACAATGGAAGTAACGAATAGACAAGAGTGAGTCGAGACTTATTAGGCACATAAAAAGTGTACAAGCCTCAGCAGTGCTCAGTCCAAAGCAGGGTGTAATGATTTTTACATTTGAAGTGATTTTTTTAATGGTAAAAGGAAATTCCATCAAAAGTTCAAAGTCAAATTCAGCTGGCAGAGATTTTTTTCCATATCAGTAGAACCTCTAACGAGGGTCACATTGCTGATCACATTCCAAACCTCCCTGCACAGAGGTGAAAAGCATTGATATATAGAAACCGTATGACTGACAGGCACGACGCCAAAAGTCAAAACAAATATATGAAGAAGAAAAAAATCATAAACGTTTACCACTTCCTTGTGCTTTAAATACATTTAGATGCAGTGAAGGACAATTGCAGGCATAAAATGTAAGGAAGCCACTGCATGTAGTGTAGTGTACAGGAAGGAGCCCTGCAATAAATACTGGAATGAAAAGCAGATTGCAATTGCCTATCGATGCCGCAAAATGATAATGAAGCACATTTTTTATATCAGATGGGGCTTCGCCGAAGGATAAGCAAACAGTGCTGAAGCAATTTTTTCAGTAAATAGTCGTGGAAAGAAAGTGAAAATCTATCAACAGGCATTCCTTCAAAAACTCCTAATTACAAATATGCATGTGTCTCGAAGAGGCAGGTCCTCTTAGGCTGACGTGACATTGGCCAGTCTTTGTGTGATTTTCAGGACGTGAGCTGTGGCAGACAGCAGCACACTTTGGAGTAAAACCAAACATTTGCGGAATAACGTGTCTGTGAAATCTCTATCTAGTGTATTTATTATTTCCAAACAAGCAAACTTTTAGAGGTTTCACTGTAGGCTACTTTATTGATTTTTTTTGTTATCATTCTAAAATTCAGTGTTGGAAATTTCATGGTAAAAACAATCCGTTGGAAATTGAAATTCAGATGGCCCAAATATACTTCATGCTCAAGAACTGTGACCTCCCTTCGTTACAGTGGATGTCAATCTAAGCGCCAAGACGGCCCACCCCACCCTTTCAGTCTCTGATGACAGAAAACAGGTGAGGCAGAGCGACAAGCGCCACGAGGTGCCGGACCACCCCAAACGCTTCGACCGCGTGGCCAACGTCCTCGCCAAGGAGAGCTTCAGTTGCGGGAGATCCTACTGGGAGGTAGAGGTCGGCGACAAGACGGAATGGAGCTTGGGCGCGGTCCGAGAGTCCATCAACAGGAAGGGACGCTTCACCGTCTGCCCTGCCAACGGTTTCTGGACTCTGAGTCTGAAGATGGGCGGGCAGTACGTCGCCAACACATCTCCGGCGAGTGCGGTCGCGTTGGAGCAGAGGCCCAGAAAGGTGGCTGTCTATGTGGATTACGCCGAAGGCCGCGTGTCCTTCTACTGCGCCGAGACGGGCATCCACATTCATACCTTCACCGACACGTTCACAGACAGCCTGCACCCGTTCTTCTGTCCCGGTCGGCTGCATGGTGGCAAAAATGCTGAGCCGCTCATCATTAGCTCCAGTTTTTGCAGCATCTGATCACACTGGACAGAAGGTCGTGATCCTTTCATAGTTCTGTAGTGTGGACACACATCTCCCTAACATGTCAACGTTGTTTTCTACACTTATCGTTCTGGAGACAAAGGAGTCCCGGGTCCTATTTGTCCTGTTTAAGGGGACTGTCAGGGATGTTGAAAATATTACAGCCAGGCAGGAAGTACAGAAGATGCCCAAAGAGGAGACTGGTGAATGGGATGAGGTAAGAGCTCAAGCAGAAGCGTTCTACACTTGAAAACATCAATGAAGCCAGAAGATGAGCAGACACGAGACCGCAGCAGGACTGGGCCAGCGGGCGAGGGAGGTGGAGTTGTCCGCAGTCAAACAGCGGCTTATTGTGCTCTTACACCAGGCACCGGGAGACACATTCATGCATTCACACAAACACACACACACACGGACTCCCATGCTTGTGCCTGCTGCCACACCACTTAGGCAGCATCTCGTCCCCACTTAACGCTGATCGAGGCTCAGACGCCAGCTGCCTGTTGGTGGAACCATTAAACTCCACCCATCGCACCTCAAGGACGTCGGACCACCTGTTCCGCTGAGCCACTGAGGACAGGGAGAGTCCACTTTAAGGTAAATAGAGTTTTTGTTTTGTTTTTTGTTTTCAAATCACTCCAAAAATGGGTTTTGAGTCACATAAATGTCATCTTTGCAGATGTTTTTCTGTATAGCTTGGGTGCCCTCTGAGGGCTTCATTGTGTGCACTTATCAATTTGATATTCTTCACGTTTTTTATTGGACATTCAAAACCGAGGCCAATGTAGGTTGAGATATGATCATCAGTTAAATAAAAACAGCATCAGCTTTACTTTATAGGTGGCAAAGGAAATTGTTCTTATTCCGCTTTTTCAACCAGACATTTTACACTCGAAATATAAAAAGCCAAATGGAATGATATCAATAGTAGTCGAGAGGCTTCTCCTGATCTGGATCCAATTGAATAGACAGATCTTCTGCATAGCCCTGAATAGTCTTCCTAGAATTATTCTATGCATTATTCAACCAAAAGAAATGGGACTCTTACCATCAATATCTATTCACATCCACAGCTAACGTTTCGAGACTGGTTCTTTTCCCCGCAAGCAATGAACCAATATTCAAAGGCTTTATATTAGCATCGTTAGACCGTTTGATTCCCAGGAATGGTCGATTGTGGATACTGACTGACGTAGTTCTTACTCTGGCCCACTCCAAAACGGCTCCATGAAAGCTTGCTTGTGTTCGCCAAACAGCTCGGTGCTTTTTCCAAGGTTAGCCGCTTAGCTCGACTCCCACAGACAACCCCCTGTCAAAGGAGGCCTTTCTCTGTTTCTTCTCTGTTGTCATTCTCTCTCTCTTTCTCGCCACCAAACACGAACCCGGCTCCAAATAGTTATGATAACCATATGCTCGCGTAGTCTTTGCGTTGAATGTCCGTCCATCCATCTATTCATTTTCTGTAGTGCTTTTCCTCATGAAGGTCACAGATGAGCTGGAGCCTGCTGTGGATATAAAATGTTTACTTGGCCTGGTTCAAATGCCGTTTTTTTTTTTTTAAACATAAAAATACCACCAAGATAAATCATATCAAACTAATTTTAAATGGGGATCAGCACATAATAGTTAACCCCTGATAAAATTCAAATGTTCGAGTAGGCTTTTCCTGCCAGTTACTTGGATTCTTGCAAAAGCCTGAAGGTTTTTTGCCAACACTGACTGTTATTTGCTATTTGGAGCTGTTCATAATTCCCTCCATGAAGTCGCCTCCACGTTGCTGCCACCAGCATGCTTCACTTTTAGTCTGATGCTCTTTTGGTGAAACACAGCTTTTGAATTATGGCCAACAGTTTGTCGCTTGGTTTCGTCAGAGAATAACAAGATGGTCTGAAGACATCTAAGAAAACATTATGTGGTGCCAAATTCAAATCAAATTCTATGCTCTGTACTGTCTTCCAGAGTAGAATGTGATAAAACATTTGTTTTTGGTCATTTTCTGGTTTTTAGATCAGCCGTCCTGGTTTAAGCCAAGTGACATCATCACCCACAGACGAAGGACTAAGCAGAGGAACACGATTGAAGGATTCCACTCAACAAGCAGGGACTTATTTCAAAACCACCGCATTCAAATAACATGGCGACAACGGGCATGCAGCTGGTAGGCCTCATCATGTCCATCCTGGGCTGGGTGGCTGGAGCGGTCGTGATCCTGGTGCCGCTGTGGCGAGTCACTGCCTTCATCGGCAACAACTTGGTGACCGCTCAAATCATCTGGGAAGGCCTATGGATGAATTGCATCGTGCAGAGTACGGGTCAGATCCAGTGTAAGGTCTACGACAGCATGCTGGCGCTGCCCAGCGACATGCAGGCTGCCCGTGGCCTCACCGTGCTCTCGGTCATGCTGTGCGCCGTGGCCCTGGCTCTAGGGGTGCTCGGTGTTAAGTGCACCAAGTGCGTGGGGGTCAACAGCCTCAAGGCGCGCATCGCCCGTATCTCGGGGGTACTCTTTGCTGTCGCCGGCTTCCTCTTCCTGGTTCCCGTCTGTTGGACCGCCCACTCCATCATCAGGGATTTCTACGACCCGCACGTGGCTGCCCCACACAAGCGCGAACTGGGCCCGGGGCTCTACATCGGCTGGGGGGCGGCGGCGTTGCTCCTGGTCGGCGGGTCTCTGCTGTACGCCGGCTCGAGTCCGCCCGGCATGCCCGGCTCGCCCACCTTCAGTAGTGGAGAAAGCAGCCCCCGTCGGGCACCGGCTTCACAGGTTAAAGGCTACGTCTAACATGGCCAACTTCAAGGTTTCCTCCCAACTGATGAAAAGCCTGTTTCACCCTCCTCTTGATATTTAATATTTTCCAGCAGGGTTAGAGAAAATTGAACTCCACCTCTGATCAAATAACCTTTTCTTCTATGTATGTCATTGTAAAATACAATAAAACAGTTGGCCTTTACTCGTGTAAATCGTTTTTCTTCTCCCGTTTTTTCCTAGCATTGACACAAATATTGAAAAGGTTTGGGCCACTTCAAAATGCCCTCGTTCCTTAATAAAAAGCTGTTTTTTCCAATGAAGATTCTTTCATCAATCCATTTTCTATACCATTTTTCCAGTCAGTCATAACAAAGGACAATTTAAATCTTCTGTGAATCTGAGATGCATTTTTGGGGAATGTGGGAAGAAGCTGGAGTAGCCAGAGAAAACCCAGTAGCATAATAACAGAAATCAAAGGCAAGATCATCATCAGCACTACAACTGTCAAGCCAATTAATATTAAAGTTGTTTGGATATTTTCATCCATCCTTTATCTGAACCGCTTTGTCCTCAAGAGGGTCGTGGGCATTCTGGAGCCTATCCCAGCCGTCTGCGGGCAGTCAGCGGGGCACACCCTGAACTGGTTGCCAGCCAATTGCAGGGCGCGCGTAGATAAACAAACATTTGCGCTCTCAATCACACCCTAGGGAGAATTTACAGTGACCAATCAACCTACGATGCATGTTTTTGGAATGTGGGAGGAAACCAAAAAAATATTATTTTCTTAAAACATGATAGCAAACCTTTGAATTGTAGTTTATCAACACCGGTGACTGCGTGACCTGAAATCATCTGGGTGATCCCCAACTTTTGAACATACATTTGTCTTGTTCATTTCACATAAGCAGCTCAGTGGCTTTGGCCCTGGCACAGTAGAACAACAGAACAATGAGTGTCTGCTTGCAATGTCATCTCTGCCATCCTCCACCCAATACAGAAAGAACCAAAATATCCCATCTTATTTACACAATAATATATTCTGCGGTTCAAACCAAAATGCTCATTTTGTATTTCCATAACAGGAGCTGGATTTATTAATACAAGACAAGTTGATGATGCACCACGATAACAATGAGCGCTAGTGATTCGGGTGCCAGGTAGTGACTCATCCATGACCGACGTCAGCCTGGACAAAGCTGATTGAGACTCACTGTTGAGCACAGTAAAGCGGCTACTGTACAATCGAACCATATTTTAAATGACAATGGGCATTGAGGCTGGGGGTGGGATGAATAACTGATCAAGGCAGGGTTTACATGAGAGCTACACAGAATAAGTAGTGCCATACTAAATTAAGGCATAGAATATGATTTCGAAGCAGTATTTTACTTTACTTTCAATAGTTTTATTTTTTAACCCCACTTTTCCTGAAATTATCCACCAGACACCAGTTTCATCAAGTGACACCAAACTAGCAAGTTAAGTACATTTACATTTAATGTCCAAGAGATGTTTGTTTTTCACCATGTCCATTTTTTTATTTAACTCTTAAGTGCAGTATATTTTATTTTTCCGTATATTTAAATTCAGTGTTAATGTTTAAACTGTGCATAATGTTCAGGAATAAAACCTCTGCCTCAACACTTATGCATTCTACCCCACTATCTTATAATTCTGGTCGTGGTGGTGTTACTTGGAAAGCTAAGTACCGGTATTTTTTTTCCGTGTTATTTGATCTCAAAAGTTAGAAAGCCATTGATTTATTTATAAACATCTCACCAAATTAAAACCTGAAAAAAGTCACAATTCCTGTTAGGTCTGGGGTCTCAGAATAAGGTACATGGTGTTCTGTATGTTATTGTTTGTTTATATTTCAGTCGCAGGCACTCTTTGGACAATATTGCCGTGTTCTGGATATCCGCTAGAGGGCGCGGCCCCGTTCGGCAGGCTGACGTTTGTTCACCGGAAGTGAGAAGTTGGAACCAGTGCACAGCTGTGCGTTGTGTTCCGTGGCTATTTGGCGCTAGCGGTTAGCCACTACGCTAAAAAGGTGAACAACATAACAGCGGACGCCGAGTGGGGAAAACACACACACACCTCGACAGAGACTTGAAGACTTTCGGTCAACAATGGGGAAAGGCGGAGGTACATTCGAGAGGCTTCTGGGTAAGTCACCGAGAGAATCGGTCGTTACTTGTCAACTCGGTGTTGTTAAAGTGCGGTGTTTTTCCAAAAGTGCGTTGTTACGAGCTGGGGCTGTGGCGCTGAGGCCAAGCTAATTTTAGCCTGCTGCTAACAAAATTGGCCGCCGATGACTCAGGCCCAGATTAGCTCGCTAATATTCACAACAGGCGATACAATCCAAGAATTTGTAAATTAATGTTCGAAAAGAATGTTGCCATCTCTTTTATTCACGTCAGTTGTGCGAGCAACAAGCTAAACAGCCAGTCATTTTGTAACCAAGCACCTGAACATACACATCATTCGCATCCTTTTGAAAATAAAGCAACGTCAACATGACGACCAAGCTGTGAACAATATAATTTGTTAAATCGTAACACTTGTCTTGTTTGTACAGACTTTAGCCTGAGCCTTGTGTTCAGCAAACGGCGTTACAACCACTTTAAATAACTTGAATATTTTTGTTCACTGAATTCCTCTTTTGTCAATCTCTTCTTCTGGATCTGATTGTCCAGCAATACAGTGCTTCGCAATCTCCACCGAAAACAATATTTGGCTCCCCAAGTGCCACCATTCTGATCAAAATAAAAATCGCATTTTTGTATGTTTAGTAGGTATAAGTGTTCTTCAAATGCAAGGCTGGGCAATAATTCAGTGTGAATATATCCTGTGGTAGACACTTGATCAATGTGACTAGAAGTTATGCTCAAAATAATATTGATTGCGAAAAATCAAGAAGCAACCCCCCAGTTTGAGTTTGGACACAGTCGCAATGTACCTAAGAACAAACATAGAGCACAAAAACAGGTTTTAATTGCACAACAACTGTTTTTGTGAACCTTGTCTGCTGAGCCAACAAAGACATTCACGCAAGCACAATTCAAGGATTAATACATTAAAGTAAAGATAGCTAAATTCACCCTTTTTTCTTTGGGTCCTTATTTTAAATATTAAAAAAAACAATAATTATTGATGGTGACAAATATGAAATACTTTCCAGATAAGGCCACCAGTCAGCTATTGCTAGAGACCGACTGGGAATCCATCCTGCAAATCTGCGATCTCATTCGACAAGGAGACACTCAGTGAGTCACTCGAACTGTCTCGAATTATTGTCTTCTTCAGTGTTTTTTTTTTTTTCCAAATGAATTTGTTTCTTTCCCATCAGGGCGAAATATGCAATTGGTGCTATAAAGAAAAAGCTGAATGATAAAAATCCACATGTGGCCCTCTATGCACTTGAGGTAAAATGCTTAAATGAGTATCGCAGCATCATGTTTTCATACATCGTGTTATGTGACTGGCAATGGCATAACAGTGACTTCCTCTTCAGGTCCTTGAGTCTGTGGTTAAAAACTGTGGGCAGACTGTTCACGATGAGGTGGCAAGTAAACAAACCATGGAAGAGCTGAAGGATCTAATCAAGGTGATGTATAATTCCAGAATATAAAACGTGTCCATGGATTTGAATTGCCATCAGATGTGTGTGAGCACAACCACCTTCTGTCTGAAGCTGAGCTCAAAACTCCTCCTAACTTGGAAACATCTCATTGTAAGATGGCAAATATTTGATGTACTGCTATTGTCGTCACATGACCCAGCATATTTACATTAGCCTGTGTGTATATAAACAGCTCAGGCGCATTACCATAAAATAACAATGTCATCACTATTGGTAACCATAGCATCATAAACCTTCATGCAAGTAATAAAGACAGCAGTGTGACAGCACTTCATGCAACTAAAATAAAGCAGAAATCGTCAGCCTTTGAAAGCACGACACATAAAATATACGGTAGAAATCATATGATATTTGTGTTTGTCATTTTGTGCTGGTCAGCAAAATGTTATTTGCCCTTGTGGAGGGGATCTCGCTAATATTTTTCATCTGTGGATTTGTTTGAGATGCTTTTGTGATTAAGGGCTTGAAATTGATTTGACAAATGGATTGTATTGCATATTTTTATACTGAGCAGATGACCGTTTTAGTGCTGAATCATTGTGCTTAAATGTTTGGTTTTTTTTTTCATATGTAATTTTCCTTTCACCAGAAACAGACGGAGCCAAATGTCCGTAACAAAATCCTTTACTTGATCCAAGCCTGGGCCCACGCCTTCCGCAATGAGCCCAAATACAAAGTGGTGCAAGACACCTATCAGATCATGAAAGTGGAAGGCAAGTTCCCGTGTCAGTGTCTGTCCTTCTGTTATTTCAACCACTTAATGTTGTGTTTAAAATGACATCAGTTAATTCTGTGAGGCCTTTCTCAGCATTGTGGCAAGCAGGTCATGTGGCTATCACAATGGAATGTCGGCTTTTGATTCATGTGTAATGAGCGTTTTCATTCACAGGTCATGTGTTCCCTGAGTTTAAGGAGAGTGATGCAATGTTTGCAGCAGAACGAGTAAGATTCAATTTCGTTTGGGTCATATTTATGACACTGTATATACAGCACTGTACAAAAGTTTAAAAGTAAAATGGGTTACAAACATGCTCATAGCCCGACTCCAAACTATTAAGTTAAAGTGCCACTGTAGGCACTCTTGGTATTGTAAAAGAGTGCACAAAGCTCCATTTTGTGTTGTGCTTCTATATCAGACGTAACATGCTGCATGTGTATTTTTGTTCATTCAGGCCCCAGACTGGGTTGATGCGGAGGAATGCCACCGGTGCAGAGTCCAGTTTGGAGTGATGACAAGAAAGGTAGGCGGAGCGTGCTTGTAAATCGGACATGTGGACTTCCCCACAGTTTTTTCAGCCGCCGTATGTGATCAGAGCAATATTTCTATGGCCCACGTGCCGAGCATGACCCAGATTGCGTTGCCGTTTCCTTTTCAAAGCACCACTGTCGAGCATGCGGGCAGATTTTCTGCGGCAAGTGTTCCTCAAAGTATTCCACCATCCCCAAGTTTGGAATAGAAAAGGAGGTCCGTGTGTGTGAGCCCTGCTTTGAGCAGCTGAACAAGTGAGTATCTGGATTACTTGAACATTCTTTTGTACATATCGTCGCTGTCCTGTGAA